GGTCGTATTTTGCGAAAAGGTTTTAAGATTATAAATTTTAGTTTACAATTTTCCACAAAAAAAAGTTTGGAAATGGAATAAGAATGGAAATTTGGTATCCAAATCCGTTTAATTCACAGTTTAATTTTATATTGAAAAAGATTTTGTTAAACAAAAAAATTGTACCCTTTAAAAAATTTTTTTCGTGTACATTTGAAATTGTTAAGCCTGTTTACTACTTTCAGCCACTAAGCTGTCACTATGTACAAATATGATTAATTGTGTATAGCATAGCATAGAGATTGTGTAATCACATCAATTTTTACAATAAAAAAAAAATTATATGGTTTTTTTTTTGTTTAAACAACGTTACATGGATTTATTTATATTTTTAAAATTTGAAAAAAAAATTTTATTACAATGGATAATTGTAATTTTTTTTTGGAAAATTCAAAAATAAAAATTGAAAATCCAACCAATGCTCCAATTCATAAGAAAAATATTACAAGGACCATCTTTCACCAGGAATTTAATTCAGATAAACAATATGAAAAAAAAAATATTTTTTTTTATTATAAAAAATTTCCAATAAATTTTAATATGACCTAGAGTTTTAAATAAGTATGCGAAATTTTATTCGGATAAAAACCCGAAATTAGAAAAAAAAAATTTAAATTATGTTCAATATTTAACATAAACGTGGAAACATTCAAAAATTTTTGAGCTTTTGAGTACATACTTATGTTTTTAGGTACGTTGAGTGTACACATGTACCGCCTTTGTCTCTTGTCCTTAAATTTGCGAAAAAAGAGCTTAAATTTTTTATTTTTTAATATCTCTGTGTAATAAAAACACTTGCAATTTATTATATTCTCAAATTTTGTGCATTCGAACTTGAGAATTGAAATCGAGAGTGCGGTTGCTCTTGAGAGAGTTTAAACTAATTAGATAATATATTTACAAACGATCTTATTTTTAAAATACTGCTGGACAAAAGTGAAACATGTATGCACTAAAAAGGTTAATAGCAACTGTATTTAGCACAAATGGTTTTTTTTAAATTCATAAAATAGTGAAAATTACAAATACACATGGTTTTCATCTAATAGAAAGTGAACAAAAAACATGAACTACTGAAATTCAAAAAATTATTGAAATTTACAAAAATTAAATTAAAATTCAAGTCCACATACCATGACTATACCGAGAGTACGTATTAATAACCTAAATATAATTAGGGAAATATGCCAATGCCATGCACAAAACCCAGCAGTTATTACTCAAATATTGTTTTTAAAGGTTTTTTTTGGCACCCTATAGAAAAAATGTTAAAGGGAATCGATTCATATAATACTTTCTCTTGGCTGTGAAATAAAAGTTAATCGTTTTACCGCTTTTCAAGATTTGACCATTAAAAGAAAATAAAATACCTTTAAATGTTAAATAGCATACAGTTTTTCTAAGCTTACGTCTCAATAACAATTCAAGCTATTAAAACCAAATTAAAGGTTAAACTAGACAAATTACCCACACAAAAGAATATTACAAAATATGTTTATTTGTTAAAATTTATGAATTTATGAAGGCATAAATTTCATTAATTTTTCAAATTCTGTACCCAATAATATTATTCTAAGCACGAAATCTAACAAATATTTTTATATATCTTCTTGTAATGACTACCTCTTAAAATTTTTCATATTTAAAAAATTTTAATTTTTTCACAGAACCGCATAAAATATCAAAATTAAAACTTAATTTATGACAATTTCAAATTTACTTTTATAATAATATACATGTATGTATTTCAGACTGTTTCTAAAATACTTTACCGTCTGAAATTGTGAATGTTATGCTCGAACTCTGTAAATAGAGCCTAGATATAGTTATTATTAATTATAGAGAACCAACAAAATGTTCTTTTTTGCATGATTTAAGTTCATTTTTCCCGTGATATATTGCTGGTATAGGTAATTAGGTGTCCAATTATGGAAATTATTGGAAAAATATTTTTATAATAAATTATTTGTTAAATACAATTAAAATTCAATGTTGGTTTTATTTTGAATATTTTTAATTCAAAATAGATCAATATGGTGAAAAAGTATTTTAACCAATATTTTTAATTATCTGTAGCCAATAATTTTGTCATAGGAACAGTAAATTTTTTTAAATATGAAATCATATTTTAATATTATGTAGTCTTATGTATATAAGAAGGAAATATGAGGTAACATTATTGAGGAAATTAGTATAACAGTATAAGTTGTTCAGTTAAAATTATACAAACTTATTCTGCCATTCAGTTTTTATGATTCCTTTACTAGGTGCGTGTTTTTGCACTGAGTGAAGTACGCCCATATTTCTCCCAAAAATATGCAATTTTATCCTTTACTTTTATTATAAATTTTTAGTTTCATGATCAGATTCTAAGTTGATTTAACCATGTCCGTTCATTCGCTCCAGCGATAATTCAAAAACGCATTGAAGTCGGCGAACAAAACTTTTACCAATCACTAAAAGTCGTTACTACAAGAACCCTATTTAATTCAGTAAATCAATGAAAGTGCTTTTTGAAGTAACTGTCATACAATTCCAAATATAATTTTGTCATGTCTCAGAAACTGTAAAGCTTACTTAAACTTTGCATAAACGAATGGTGTTAGTACATAGAGACAATTTTCCGACAAAATTTGCTTGTGATTAATAATAGATTCTTACATCAGTCGCCATACTCAAATTCTAATATTGTTTGCATTAAACCCGTACATACTACAATATATACATATGTATATATACGAATCGAGTATATTATTAAGATCATTTTGAAAAATGTTAGTAGTGAAGCTTTTTGTTAACTGTTATACAGATTTTTATTTTCTGTTATACATCCTTTGTTAACTGTCATAAAACCCGTAAAATTCGTACGGATATTACAGAAATGACACAGCCAACTCCATTTTTTTTAGTTTAATATAGTAAATATATTAAATCACAGTGATCCCTTACATAGATCACTTTATTTTAATATTTTTAAGATTTGGTAGTAAGTGTAAATAAAATTTAAATTATGTATGTATAATTAAAAAAAAATTATTTTAAATTTGTGCAAAAATTCAATCGAAGTATGAATTTTTAATCAAATAGTTGAAAATAGCTACATTTTAATTAAATTAAAAACTACTGATAATAAATACCACTAACAGTAATAAAATATAATTTTTTCCCATTTATATTATCGGATCTGTTCACATTCAACTTAACTGACTATACAAAATAAATTCATGGACATACACATGAACCTATATTATAAATACTGAAAGTTATTGATATATGTATAATTTATATAACAAATTTATAAATTCAAAAAAAGAATTTCTAAATTTTTAGCATCATAAAAATTCTGTTGTCGGTCGTTGGATTTACAATTAAAACAGGAAGAATTTTAATAAATCCATTCATATTTTATTTATAGCATATGTGAACATATAAAATATGTACTTTAAAAATTATTTATTATATGCACACAATCATACGTACAACAACATTTACAATTAAATAAACTTCAACTATAAATCAATAAGTTGCAGCCGCATTGTGTTCCAAAAAATTTTGAAAAATTTTATGAATATTAAATTGGTTTTTTTTTTTATATGCTTATAATTTGAATTTTAAATTTTAGATTCGGCATGGTAAAAGTTGTTTGTTTGTTCAATACAATAAAACTATAGAAAAGTTTCATTGTTGTTCTAATATTTTCTAAATAAATATTTTATAAAAACTAAAAATTTACATTTTCATAGTTCGTTCTAGTGTACATTTTCATATTTTAATCTAGTGTATAGAAAAAAATAATAAAATAATAAATTACTTGATATTTTGTTTTTTCTATTTTTTTATTTTAAAAACATTTATTAGTTTTCGGCTCCCAAAAATAAAAGGAAATTAAGAATTAATTCAAGGGAATTAAATAACAATTTGAAAAAAGGATGATAAGCAATGATTTTCAGCTTGTGCAACTCGTTGGCCAATTTTTAATTCTGATTTTTGGAGTATAATAGTTTCGTCAGAATAGCTTATCTTTTATGCCTGTTAACAGTAGGCTTCGCCGTATCGAAGCACATAACTATGTCTAATGTTAATTAAGAAGAAAGTTAATTAATTACCAAAAGAAAGAACGTTCCAAACTGTATAACGCAGGAATAGTTTTGTTAACCAAACCGTACGAACTATGTATGATGTGTTTAACAAATTTGCTTTACCGTTTGTAACGCTAAGAAATAATGGTCTGAGATATAGATGCAAGTATATATTTTTGATCAGCGTCGAGTTCTGAGTCGCTTTAACCATATATGTTCATCTATTCGAGGTATTGATTGGGATATATACCACACAACTTCCAAATTTGTTCGGCTTCATTTCAGAAATTGTAGAAGATATGATATTGAAATTTCGCACAAATGAATATATTGTTAAGACTATTGTAAAGTAGTTGAAATTACTTAGCTTTGTCTGGTACTAGCTACTCGTACATACATTAAAAGTTGTTGAGATGTTATGAGCGATTCTGATAGCTGTCATATAACTCCTATAGCTATTTGACCATCATAACTCAGAAACTATTAAAGTTACAACGCTGAAATTCCGAACAAACGAATTTGCTGATGTAACCATAATTTTTAGTAAAACTCTATTAGATTGTATGAGTTTGTATGGTAACTACTATATATACATATATAAAACAGTACCGGATCAGAAATTGTATGCCATTATTATCTCCGACATTTAAAATCATTAATTCGTATGGGTATAACGACACGGTTAACTCTACCTATTCTCGTTTTAAATACATTTGCATTAGAATTTGAATTTCATTTCAAATTCAAAAATAATCAACAATTTACTACAATCAATTTTAATTAATTACAAAAACATATGTACATATTTTTTTAATAAATATCTCAAATCAATGAAATAAAATTTTTTTAATCAAAAAAATATCTACTTAAATTATTTTTCAGCTTCACCAACTTTAAATAGCAAGAATACAACAAATGGTATTTATATATCATGTCCACCACTTTTTCCACCAAAACATGGTTACTTAGAATGTAGTCGACCATTGGAGGAAACAGATCAAATAATAGAATCGAATAATAATAATAATAATAATTTTGAATTATATAATAATTATGGAATAAGTAATGATAATCAAAGTAATCAAAATGGAATAAACGTGATGATAAATGATAATAATGGTAAAAATATTACTACAATTGAAAATAATAATAATAAGAAACAAGAACAAGAACCACATTTAACAACAAATCAGCCTGGTAGTCAATGTGTATTACGTTGTCCTACTGGATTTAGAATAAATGGAAATTTTTCAAAACAATGTAATATAAATGGAAAATGGATTGGTGATGATGATGGAACATGTATAAGTAAGTATATACGTATGTACATTATAGACTACTCATTTTTACTTACAACACATGTACATTTTATGTAACAATCAATGTAAACTTTTCTGATTTGCACTAAGTCTTGTTGATTTATTATAATGAATAGATAGTATACTTTATTTTTAAATGTTTTTATTATAAAAATTTAATATTTTCGTATAGAAAGATGAAGTTTTCATATTGCGATGAAAGAGATAAATAATTTTATATTCAAATATCTTTTAATGGTTGCATATAATAATTAGAAAGGATAAATATTTTTTTTAATTATTTCAATAGTTTTGTTTCCATTCCAAAATGAATGAGGTTTTTTTTTTTAATTTTTCAAATTTAAATCAATAAAATTTTAATAAATATCCAAAGGATTCTACGATAAAGTTTTTGACTTATGAATAAATAAAATAAGCATATAAATCGAGATATCAGTCTGACAAAAATAACTTCTAAATTAATTTGTTCTCAATTAAATACCTTACATTTATAATTTATGAAAATGATTTGAAAGACCACTTTAACCCTAACGAATTACTTATAATAAAAGTTCCCAAATTTCTACACATATGCAGACTTTTAAAATAATAATTTCACCATATAATTAATTTTCTCATGTCCGTTATAATTCAATTAACCACTAATTTGGTTCCAATTAATCTTCATAAATTGATTAATAATTGGAAGCCTATCTAATTTTGACTTAATTGAAATAAGGGTTCAAGTGAATGTCATAAAATTTCCAAAATGACCTAAAAATTTCATTAAAAACACTCTAATTGCAGTGCTTAATTTTATATTTAAATAATTTGAAGTAGGTCCCGGCAAGAGGAACGCGTCCGTTCAGAACTTTTTGGGCGGCCCACTAAACGATCAAAATATTTTTAGAAAAATCAATGAACTTATAGAGCATGAAAGTGATGAAATGTGGTTCGCGACGAAAATGCGATCTAACAAAAGCATAGTGAGAAACCTATCTTACTTACGAAAGATTTATCCCCACTCCCAAACAAAAAGTATCGCATTCTTTCATTTCACCTGTTTGCTGCTGTATGTTCATTAGAGCATTTTGCGTATTGAATATGTTGAAATTTAGAGCTGCATGACGTTTTACTACAATTACGAGTAGGTAATGAAAAGTACATGTTATTTTTATGTTTTTGGAAAAAATATTTTGTCTTTTATTGGCATAATTACGTTTTTACATCTTTTTCCAAAAAATAAATAGGTACACTATTGCAAAACCTGTTAAACTTTCAGTATGTAAAGCTAATACCAATGTTACTTAAGCTTAAAACTTAATATATAGTGTTATAAGTTCGTACAGAGTGTATACTTGTTATTAAATAAATTAATTAAATTCGACCTTATTTTGAACTTCCTTTGAAATTTTTATAAAAATTAATTCAACAAAAATTTTACTAATTAATAGAAAAATCTATTATTAAAAACAATATCAATTCCTATGTGCCAAATTAATATTTTTTTATTCGTGCTCTTAAAATTCACATGCTAAATATTGATTTATCATTACAACACCAACATATTGTCAAAGCTTTAAGGTTGTTGGCCCACAAAAATTATCAATTTTCACAATATAATAAAACACATATTATACGGTATTTGTATAAATTATAACACACCCACACACACATATTCTTGAAATATAAATTAATTTTTAAGGTTCAATTGAATTCATGAAGAGGAAGATATTCAAAGCTCAAATATTTAATTTTATAAAATTTTGCCCTTTGTTTTTCCTCCTCTACATTGTTTCTTTTATATTTTTTTGTTTTCGTTATTGCAAAACTTCTCTTTATACTTCAAAAACAAACATTTGAAAAAAAAAATATTTCAATTGAATTTTTGTAATGAAAACTCAATGTATTGGAAAAGGCTGAATCCCTTTATTATTTTATCTTATGAAGCATTAAAACAAAAAAACAATAAAGAAAAAATTGAATATTCAAATGTTGCAATGCAAATTGTATGCAACAGCAACATTAAGAATTGCTATTAAAAGAGTTTGTAAAAACAATAAAGTAGTTTTTTTTTTTTTTTTTTTTACTTATTTGCTGAAATAGTTGTTGAAAGTTCATTTTCAAAATTGAATTTTATATAAGTAAAACCTTTTTATAGACAACTTCAAAATCCATCAAAAAAAAACTTATTGATTTAAGTGGCCTTTTCATAGTAAAGCTTCTCTTTAATTATTTTTCTGCAAAAAAAAATTTAGAGGGTATTATAAATTTGCTAGTCCATTAGCAACGCTGATTAATGATAAGTTGAGATAATTTATAATTGTTCAACCTGTCGAATTTCGAGTTAGTTATACGTCATGCTAGTTCGTTTGTGTGTTCGTGTGTTCAAGCCAAAATTAAAAAACTTAAGCGGTTTAGTTCAGCAACTTCAAATCTTGGATATAAATTAATTCAAATTAACTATTTTGTTTTTTTATAATGGTAATACTGTTTCCATAATTGCAAAATACACTCTAACCTTAATGTACATTCTATGGTATTCTTTCGGTATTTGAATTTAATTTCTCTTAAAAAAACTTTCTGAAATTTCAAATCTTACGCTCAGATTAGTTTAAAACTAATTTAAGAGCAAAAATATCGAACAATCATATTTTAAACAAGTAATTCATTGAACAAGGATCCAAACCGGATCCCCTAGTTTAATTGGAAATACCAGTCCTTTTCAATTTTAATTTAATTACAATTCAGTTTCTAAAACATGTCTAAATTCTGTTTGTTCTTATAAAAATTACTACATTTTCCAAAACAGCCAACTAATATATTAGAAAATATTTAAGCTCCACTGATCAAGTTTAAGTCAACGTATTCACTACTCTTTATTCGAATAATATTCACAGAGTCTACATGAACTTTAATTAATTCCCGTTTTTAATATTTTTCCAATTCGTATCCTTTTCTTTTTCCATATAATATTGTCAGGGAAAAAATGCAATTCGTTTCTTTTTTAAAACTTTTTTCTATATTTTAAAAATGTTTAGACACAAAGGATGGATACAAAAAGTTATTTTTAACATTTATTATAGGGTATACCAGAACGAATTAAATCGGGGTGAAGGCAGATACTATGATGTTTATGATGGATAATGATTAAAATATGAGATGAAAAGATTTTTTCGTATAAAATATAGGAAATTTAACCCTTGAATGTCCACATTCAATTCCACGAGTGCGGGATATGGAGTCCAAAAAATGCCATTATGGGTGCCATTTTCAAAATGATATTAAACGCAAGAGTACTTAGTGTTTTTGAATGAGAATCATAACTTATAAATTTTGTGGTTTGTCAAAAGCTGCCATATTCACAAAATTTATAAGTATAATAGCAATTTCTCTTATCATATATTCTAAAAACGCAGCCGCTGGTAATGTTTTACACTCAAAAATTTTCAATATTAACAAATAACTTCTTATTAATTAGCTCAGTTTTAATATATAAATCAGAAGATTAATGACAACCTCAGATCACGCCACATTGAAAAGTTTTTTCTTATAATGTGTAATGGTTAAAAAATTCTATATATTTCATAAATTCAAAGTTACTCTTAAAAGGCAAAATTTTATGCAAAAATTTCTGTAGTAAAACAACACATTTTTGTCCCCTTGTATTTTGATTATACTTTAAAATGATAAGTAAATTAATTTTTGAAGTTACCGGTGAAATTCTACAAGAATTTTGGATATGACAATAAAAAGGATAAAAATGGTATACTATCAGAATTGATCTTTAGAATTTGCTGATTTTTTGTTCCCTGTTCTTTAATCTCAATGTTTTTGTGTCTATTTGAATTGTTAAAAAAATGTTACATTTTTAGATTTTAATTTGTTATCCTGTTTGTGTTTCATTATAAAACTAAACACAATGTACACTACTAACAGGAGTTGAAAAATAAAATGAAAAAATTGAAATATTTTGATAAATCACATGACATACTTTCATAGTTTATTGTTGGTCTATTTGTATTTCGGTAATTGAAGAAATGAAATTGTAAAACTTCTTTAGGTACAGAAATATTTGAGGTACATAATAAATTTGATATCAAATAGTGAATACACGCCATCTGTATATATTATATGAACCAGTTTATCAGTTTGAAAAAAAAACCAACAGACCGCTCGATGCACGATTCCCCTAATAGTCCTGCCCAACAGCATGTGTTCTATTAGAGACGCCAGTGACTCGTAAATCGACGCGTCTGTCAGTACAGCACCGATTGCCTGAGAAGTGACGTTATGGAAGACCCCCTCAATATCCAAAAACGCAGCCATAGTGTTCTCCCTTCTGTCCAAGGATCGCTCTATGTAGCTTGTAGCTCACAAGCGAATGTAGGGTCGTTTCCATCGACTTGCCACTGTAATACACATGCTGTGCCGGGGACAATAGATTTGGGTTTACGTTGTTCCGTATGTGTGACTCCAGCAGCTTTTCTAGCATTTTTAATAGAAACAATGTTAGACTGATTGGTCTAAGGTCCTTTAGGCAGCTATGAGAGCTTCTCCCAGCCTTAGGAATGAAGATCACCTTCATTCCTTTCACGATTTTTTAATTTCCCTATTACTTAGGTTGTTTTAAATTTAAAGCTATAACACCACCAAATACTAATACATGCTAACACAGAATTTTCTCGTATGTTACATAATCCAGAAAAAACTAAAGTCTTCTTCCCGATAATATAATCTTGAATAAACGTCAAATTAATTATTCACCGAACGCAATAAATTTTATAATTAAAATAGTTTAGAATGATTAGGCTATTCTTTTCATGACAAAGTGCCAAACAAAAGTTGACTGGGTCAATTTGAATATGAATACAGTAATATATGGTTATTAATCTAGCTACAATGGAATATTAGTTTGCTGAAATAAATTTCCTTATATAATGTTATCTTACACAAATATCACAACTTTTATGATTACATAATTAATGCAAATAATTTTTTAGTTTTAATAATATTACATAATTATTATATGGACATAAGATTTGTAAGGGATTTTAACTCTTATTAATGGTACAATGGATTTATCTACATAATTTTTGAATTACATATGATTGAATAATTAATTAAAATAAAAAGATTTATTAAAAAATTGAATTTTTCATAATTCTTTTATATAAAATTTTCTTTTATAACAAATTTATATTTACAATTTTCAAACACTTTGCAAGTAATCAATAACTAGATGGAAATATAAGTACATAACTATTTTCTTATTTAACAGTATTTTATCAGTATCTACACCTATATTTAATCCATACATGTATGTGTCTCATAAATATCCCAAATAGTGGAAATTTTCTAGATTCAATTAGAAATTTTCATTTTTTAAATCATTCAAATTCAATTATACAGTCAGCATACCATCAATCAATATTGAACCATTTCCAAATCATAGGTAAAAATTTTAATTATTGTATTTTTGCTAATCATACAAATTTCTATCATTTCCACTTTTATAGAATTCAAATGCCATTTACATTAAAGTGACATGACCTTCTAAGAAATTTCAATAGTAAAATTTTGATTTAATGTATTTCTAGTATGGGAGGGTTGGTTATTTTTAGTAGTTACTGTTTTAATATACAATAAACGTAGCTGAAAAAAATATTCTCATGTCGGAGCACAGTAATGAAAAAGTTAAAAATGAGTTCATAAAGTTGTGGTAATGCGGCACCAGAATGAATATATAACCCATTGAATTACCTAATTTTCGGATAATAATTCCGAATTACAATAAATCTATTTTTCATACATTTTAGCTAAAATATTTCGAAAATATTTTGGAAAAGCTTTTTTATACACGAATTTAAAACTTTAAGAAAGTTGTGCTAACTCTCTAGCGGTCATATCTCTTCGAATACGAAATTGATTCTTAGAAGAGTTTCACTTTCTGCCATCAGATTTTGTTATCAGATACTAGTAAGTCTCGCTGGCAAACAGAACTTTAATATTCAATTTTAAAAAAATTCATATGTATTATAATTGTGCACTGAACTGCTGCTTAAACCATTTTCTTGTTAAAGAAAATCACACAAGAAATTGTTCCATATTATAAAACACGAAATTATGACATGAGGCCCTGGAAATATCCCTCAAACCAAAATACATACAAATGAATTGTGGTACACTATATTAGATATACATATATTATAATATACAATAAGCGTGTCACACATTTTATATGTCATAGTCATAGATATCACGTTCATATATTATTCGTTCAATTCATTCAGACATTATATTGGAACTGACACCAACATATGAGAAGGCCGAGAAGATTTCTAATTATTATTTACATAAACAATGCTATAGCGGTTTGATATTCAAGCACAAATTCTATTGAAATACCATAATTGAAATAGATTTTTGGAAACCTTATAGAAATTTTGATAAATTGTATAAAGATTACATAATAAGAATACATAATTAATAATATTTTTTTGTAATTTTACCGAATAATATACACCTACATAATATGCATATATATATTTTGTGTGCGAATAACCTGTATCAAATAACTTAAGGATAAAGGATCATTTATTATATAATATGATTTTATGTATATAATTTTAATCCTCTTACTTGTGACGACATCTTGTTATATCAGAATAATTTAAGTGATATTAATTAACATGAAATATTTTCGAATGAATACCAATGAATGCTAATTTCTATACACACATTTTTAACTAATTATAATTTAATTGTATTAGTCATATTTAATTATATTATTATAAATTATATGAGTACATGGAATATAATATAATTATTTATATTATAATAATATTGTATAACTAACTATAAATACATATTATGTGCACACTTATATATTCAATTTTCTATAAATAGGTAATCATGACTTAATGTACTAGTTATTTTCTGTAATTTATGTATCTGTGCCATAAAAGAATACGTTATTATATTGAAAATCGTGTAGTTGTAAAATTACGTTTAGTTGTCATACTCTGATTTATTAAAAATATTTACTTTTATTTTATATTAAAGATTAAACAATGGCGGCAGGTTTAATTGAAGGCAAATACATTTTAAATGAATAAGATAAAGAAAAGAAGACAAATGTGAAAAATGAAAACTATTGGCTTGTAGTGAAGGATATGTTTGGTTAAGATCCTAATACAGAGTGAGATGTGCAAACTTAATACTTTGAGGTTATTTATTATGCAATAGAAGATATTTTTATAAAATATTATTGACAAAAATTGTTCAGGAAGATTTCAGTAATTCAAAATCAGACAGTATTTAACAAGCTACACTTAATGTGTAGCTTTAACAAGCTTCACTTAATGTTCTTTTACAAATGGTAGATTCGATACGCTGAAAGGAGCAAAGAGGTTTCAAATAGTTTGTGCAAAATTATGCCATCTGTTGTAGCTATTTTCCAAGAAAAATTTTAAAGTTGAACCGTATTCTGAAGAAAGAGGCCGAAAAATGAAAAATGTAGCTTATTACAAAAATATTATCTGCTATTTATTAGATCTACTTTCAAATACTCTGTATAAAAATTTGAACAATTTGTGTTAATGGGAATTGAAATTTCATGTCTGTGCTCAAATTTAAACAATAATCCCTAAAAAAGCACCTGTGAATTGAAATTTAAATAACAATTTTTTTGCATTTTTTTTACACTTAATAATTTAAGAGTATGTAAATACAATACAAAATTCAATCAATTTTTACGTAATGAATTTTATTTAATGAATTTGTTACATAATTATTCGCTTGGGGTACAGACTTCCATGTTTTACACTGGCACAAATTTGTAAAGTTTCCGCACGAAATGAATAATATACAAAGTATAAGTAATATGTATATATTACATACACATTATACGTATTCCATAACTAGTGGTTCATACGTGTGTATGAACCTGTGTATATTACTTTTAATAATTATTATTAACTGAAAATTAGGGAAACCATATATATTCAGTTAGTTGATTTTTATAATGCTTATTAATATTATGTACCTTAAAACTTAATTAACTATGTTGCATAATTAATTAATTAATTCTAATATTTAAAAAAAAAAAATACTTACATATATTTCTGATGAATAGAAACCTTAGACATTTCTCATATATAAATATTCTACTCATTTTATTTTATTTTATTTTTTAAATATAATAGGATATCCAACACCAAAATTAATATGCCCATCAGATATTACATTGGAGACACCACCAAATGAAAAAATGGCAAAATTAAAAATACCTCGTCCACGTACTGATGTTAATTTTGATAGAGATGTTAGTATTTCACCAGAATTTCTTAAAACACCAAATGATATAGCATTTGAAATTGGTACAAGAAATGTAACCTATACAGCAAGAAATCCTGTTTCAAAATTATCAATATCATGTTCATTTACAATAGCAGTTGTTGGTGAGTTTTTTTTTTTTAGAAAAAAAAAAACAACTTTTTTAAGTTAATAGTGAGTATTATTTTTTAATTCAACTCGGTTCACTTGTTAAATTGTGTTTTTATGTCAGTCATTTCCAAATAATTCAAATATTTCTACATTTTCAGTTCGGTCAACAGTACTTTAAATTTTCAAGAAATAAATCAGAATGAACAGTAAATATAATTATTTAGATTTATACAAGGCATTTCTGTATTTCTCATAGAAAACTCTGCTTATATACCAAATTAAATTAAAAAAAAACAAATTCACCTAAATAAGTATGAAATAGAAAGAATAATGTGGGTAATTAAAATATTCAAATACAAAATTGAATAAATCATAAATATTAATGATTATAATTTATATATTAAAACCAGGGAATTATACCATTGACAAATTAAGAAAGAAAATTTATATAACCACAAACCATCTGTCAGCCGCATAAATTAATTAGATTTATTAAAGAAATATACAATATTTTTTTTTTATAGAACGTACATTAATCGAATTTAAACGAAATATTTGTAAATGAAAGTATAAATTAATTCAAAAAGTTTTCTCCAACTTATAAAGTACCTATATAGTTACAAATGAAATTGTAGTCGCACGTAACATCTATTAAGATGTAAAAACAAAATGTAAATTCGAAATTAATGTTGGCACGTTTTCATGTTTTTTTTTTTTTGATATTTCAAATTTGCATTTTGAATTGTATAATTGAATATTATTTTCTATACCGTAAAAATTCTCTAGTACTAAGAGTATTTCTAAGAAACTCATTTCAAAATTTAGAAATTTTTGAAATTTGTTTATAATAATTAAGTATTCGGCAATTGATTTTTCTGTAATGTGGTGTACTAATCGTTATTATAGAGATTAGTAATAAAATTATAGTTGCGTCGACATAAATTATATTTTGATTTTGAAAATTGTTTTAAAAATAGAATAATAAAATTTTATCCTAAAAATCGAATATATTGAACTCATGAATCTTCTATTTTATTGAAAAATGAAATGAATGCACTAACTGAGCCAACTGCTTTAAGATTAAAGTTACTAAGCCCTTTTTTACCAATTGTTTTTAAAAATTTTTTCTAAAAAATAAAGTTGCAAAAATTTTTCTAAATTTCCTCATACAAAGCATAATTATTTAATAATTTTAAAGAAATGATTCCAAAATAAAAAATATCTAATATTTAGGAAATTCGGTGCCAAAACTTAAGAAATCCATGTCAGTCAAAAATATATTAGGATTCAGATTCGGAAATTTTAGTCTCCGCATATCTTTTTTTCAAATGAATATTTATCTTCTATTAATAAACCTATGGTCCGCATGAAGTAGTGCATAAAAAAAAACATAATATGTTTCGTAAGGAGTTGGTATTGTTTCATTTCATTCAAACTCATTTCAAATAGACACTTAATACTTTAAGGTTTTGACGTATTTTTTTTTTTGCTCACTTAACTAGTCCATCAATATTGTCACAAATTTTAAATTTGTATTTCAAAATATGTAGCAATATTTGTACACTGAGTGTAAATGGGTTAAACAAAATCTCAAATTGAATCTCAATTCCAAGTGATTATTCTGTCAATGTTTTCTTTATAATAAATTTATTTTACTCTATGACAAAGAATAAAATTCTTCTATATTAAAACTTAAATAGTGTGTATGTTTAGTTAAGATAATGAAAATTTAATTCCTATTCTATAGTGTTATACTTAATGTTTGTCTCTTCCTTAACATTGACACAAAGGAATTAACTAACAATAAATTAGAAATTTTATTTTATAATTCAAAATAAACGATGTGGAAGTCGTTTGTCTATTGTTAAAATCTTATTTGGAATTTTTTTTTCTTTCTTTATTCTTGTGAGTTGACTGTATTTAACATTTAATTGTATTTTATTTTTTATTATTTTTCTTTATTAAATCACAATGTTTTTCATTTTTAATTTCTAGATTTATTATTTATTGTTTATATTGTTTTATTATCTTGTTTTTTTTTGTCCTCTTTATATTATTATTCTTGTACAAGTGCCACATATAAAAACAAATTTCACATATATTTTTTTATTTTCAATCTTAAAAAATTTTTTCATCACAATACTGGAATGCGGATAAAATCTAATGAAACGGAACACAACATAACATATAAATGAATTGGAAAAATAAAAAAAAAACACAAAAAAAATTCTTGTACAATTAAACAGAAGGAGAATCACCAACAGTGAAATTTTGTCCTGGAACACAAAAATATTCATTAGAAAAACAGCGTGAAAGCATTAAAGTTATTTGGAAAGAGCCAGTTTTTCAGGATAATATTAATGTTACTGAAATATCAAAAACAAATGTAAGTTTTTATAATTAATATACTTTAGTATAGATATGTTAAAAATGTATGTTCTTAGCAGAAAACTATTATATTTTAAGTATAGTAAAAGGAAAATTATTTAGTTAATTTATGATATAAGAAATATATTGTTGTATGTTAAGAACAACAATGTAAATTTACTCTTAGTATCAAAAGTTATAACAATGAAATTGTATGAGATAGTTGAATAAAACCAATGTTTGCAAAGTAGCACTTTTCTTATAATCAAATGAAAATACTTTTTATAAGAACAAATTTCTAGCTACCACCGAGTACCGAATTATTTCTCACATTAAAATTGAAAGAAGCGTTCGCATAATTTTCCTTCTTAGGCAAAAAATTTTCGAGAGGCTCTAGAAAAAAATTTTCTTGCAAAGAAATAAACTATTTATTAGTATTTAAAAGATTCTATGCCCTTATTAATGTTAGACTATGTTGTATCGTGCTCAAATAAGTCAACTATTACTAACTTAATGGAAATTTCTTCACGCAACTGCAGAACAGATGGATGACGTAATCAATGTGAATTACAGTATAAAGCAATGTAGAGAACATTTCGTCGGCAATTTCTTCATGCCCCTGTAGCTCAGTTGGTAGAGCGTTCGCCTAGAAAGCGGTAGGTCACTGGTTCGAGTCCAATTCGAGGAGAAAAATTTTTTAATGAATTTTTCTGCCTTTAACTCGTTCCTTTGATTACGTCATCCATCTGTTCTGCAGTTGCATGAAGAAATTTCCATTAAGTTAGATTATTAGTGTAATAAGCACATTCTTATGAATTCCGCAACTATGATGTTGTATTAATAAAATTCATAATATCAACTATTACTCTTCTGCATTAATTGTAGAATTTAAAAATTGTTGATGGCTTCAATAAAACAAATACTCAAAGAATGGTATTTTTAATAATTTGACGGTATTACTTTTAATTACTGTAAAATATGTAAAAAATTTCCGAGGGGGATAGGTAAAAAAATTTTTAATAGAAAAATAATATTTGAAGTAAAAGATCTATTTGTATTGTGCATATTTTATTCTACTCTAAATAATTGTAAGAAATCTAATTTTTAATTACCTGAACTCTTTAAGTTTGCTATTACTTCCAATTATATCCTTAATTTACTTTTCGATGGCCACTTCAAATTTCCAAACTTAATGCAACAGACAAAAAAAAAACTTGTAGTCCTGGCTCTACTCGACATATTGTTTGTTTTCTATTTATTCAAATCATACTCATTTCAGCCCAACATTAGTACCACAATTCTGCTCGAAATTTAGAATAAACTCTTGGCAATAGCTATTCTTGTAGATAACGGTAGACTAGTCACCTACCTAGCTAACTCTCTATGACTATAGAAACTAGAGCATCATAGATATCATGCACTAGCCCTATACTCCTCCTAGGATAGGAGTGAAGGAAAAAAAAAAAAAAAAAAAAATAGCTATTCTTGTACTTATATTATGTACGTAATTTATTGAATAAATTTCAAAATTTTAAAACCCGTATAGTTTTCCCCCCTAAATATCGCCATAGTACCATTTAACCATTTTAAACTAACTATTTTTTTTTTTAAATCAAATCAATATTGTAATTTTTTATTGAAATAATTGTTGTATATTTGCTCATCAAGCAATTTATTCCTTGAAATTGTATTTATTTTCTGCTTTTTTTTTTATTAAAATTTCTAAATTACTGTTTTCAACAAAAACCTTTTTTTATACACATAATAATTTATTTTCTTTTTTTTTTTTTTTTTATAGACACCAGGAAATAATTTCGGTGTTGGAACTCATCAAATTGTTTATATTGCAAAAGATGAAGCAGGTTATTCAGCCAGATGTATATTTAAAATTATAGTGAATGTACCGCCACAGGATGTTTTAATTCATCCTTTACCATTTTATCGAATGTTTTACAAAAAATAAAATTAAATAAAATGGACGAATTGAATATTAATAAAAAACACAGAAAAAACCAAAAAAAAAGAAAAACTAAAATATATAAAAATAATTTTGTTGCCTTCCAATTTACTAAGAAAAATTTTTGCAAAAATAAAACCGAAAAATTTATTAAAACAAATTGATTTTATTTATAAAAAAAAAAAAAACAAAAATAATAATAAAATTTAATTTGTTATTTTGTTTGTGATTGGAAAAAGGATATATAAAAATGAGATTCCATTTTATTTTTGTTTTGTGGTTGTGTATAAAAAATTGGAGAAACCATGAAATTTAAAAAAAAAAAAAAAAATTTATAAAACTATAATTATAATATAATTTATGAAAATAGAAACATATATACATACCAACAAGTAAGGGAGAATAAAATCAAGAACTGGAACTTTGAATAATATGTACATATATACATATATAAAAAAACAAATTTACAAGGACCTAGAAATTTTCTTATAATGCAGATAAAAATATTTATAGAGCATACAATACAACTTTTTGGTTTGTTACAATAATTATTAAAATGGAGCCGAAGACGACATAAAATAATAAAATATCAGTATGCTTTTTGTTATCTTCTCGGGTGTACATAAATTTATAATTTGTAAGTATAAAAACAAATTGTTAAAATAAAAATTTACAATTCTTTTACATAAATAATAATTATATTAAAAGTATATAGTTTATTTTAAAAAGGAATATTCTTTTTTAAATTCGTTGACAAAATTCAATGATAATTTTAGGAATTTCTCAAAGAAATTTTAACTTTATAATTATAATTTTTATTTTAAGTAAATTTTTGTATTTCATTTTTCTATATACTTAAAAAATTTTAATTTTATTTAATTTATAATATTATTTTTATTTATTTTTATTTGACAGCTCTAAATGAAATTTGTGATAGTCGGGTAACTAATGCACCGCAATTAAAAATAAAACAGGATAGCACAAAATGCTAAAACACTTGTCCGAAACATATGTTTTTTTCTATTGTCGTTCCTTTGCCTACGTCATCCATGTATTCCTCAGTAGTACAATGAAATTTTGTTTATTTATTTGATTAAGTTACACGTTGACAACTTGTATATACTTTTTTCTGTATTGTCTTATCTTCCAGATCAAATTTCATGAGAAGTCCGGTAAATAGGAGATTCTACGAAAATTTTAATTGTGCTCTTGAACATTCCCATAATTATTTAGTTGCCAAAATTAATAGAATTCAATTCAGCAATTTTACTTGTGGACTAAATTGAAACTACAATTTTACTGATTTCAACAGTATATTACCAATCCTTAGTGTATCAATCAATTTTCGAATAATTTAAAGTTCGATAAACAATATTATTTAATTCTTATTTTTTTAATAAACAGTTCGAAATATATTCTAAACAATTTTCATTTCTAAAATTCTAAGCAATTTCTCTATTCTTCCCCTAAAAACAAAATCAAATTTATTTTCAAATTCACTTTAATATTCTTTGTGGTAATTTATTTAAATTGTTTATAGTGATAAAGCTCTCAATCACTAAATTTTCTTTATTTTTTTTTGTCGTCCTCTGAAAATTTATTCAATTATATTTTCTTTTCCTTTAATTTATATATATATATATATACAATTTAATCAATTTATATAAATAGAAAGTTGATTTCAGTTTCACAATGTTGATTTTATTTCAATTATTAATTTAATTTTTATCTTGAAAATTTTGCAATCATATTTTATTTTATTTACGGTATACGTTATTGTTATAATATTATTATTGTGTTCTAACGATTTATGTATAGATGATGCTTAAATATGACGACAATCTAAAAATATTTTTTTTTTTATAAAGATAATGAAATTTCATCTTGTTTTTGTGATTTTCTTCCAAATATAATCCAAGTGAGGGTTGTACACTGTACAGTTATTTAGAAAATGATTTAAGAATTTGTAAAACAAAAAAAAAAACAATTTGAAATCAACTAATTGAGTTATAGATTTTTCGTAAACTATATGTTTGTATGTACATAATATTTTCAATATTTTTAAAATAAATAAATTATAATTAAGAATTGTAAATAATATAAATAACGACTCTAAATATATTATATTAAAGGAAAATTTTAATATAACAAATAAAATAATTGAATTATATGGCGAATGGTATTTTCATTGCATAATGTTGTTGTAATATATTCTAGAGAAATGATAATATTAAGCGTTCTGTTGTTTTTGAACTATGTATTTACATATATAGCAATCAATATTCAAATTATAATATGTATACGTTGTCCTATAATATTTTTACTGAGGAATAATACTGTGTATATATCTATATAATATATAGATATATATACAAAGTGTATATTATACACTTTGTATAATTGATCTATGTGGTTTATTCCAAAATTATTATTATTTCATATTGAAAATTTCGTACTTTAGTATTAGAAAATTAAAAAGAATTCAATAATTTTCAATAATTTAAATTTCATTATTGGATAAAATTTATGATATTTTAGTATATTTTCATTAAAACATTAAAATCTTATAAATAAGCCTGTAAAATTTTTAAATTATTGAACCACTGATAGTAATGAAAACTTATTCAATATAATAATTATTTAAATTATATTTAATAAATATTCAAAATTCAATAAAAAAATTTTGAATATTTATTAAATATAATTTTCAACAAAATAACGCAAATTTGTTATAAATTATAAAATGTGTAATACATGTATCTAGTAAATTTATACACAATTTCACTTTTAAATTTCAATTTAAAAATTTTCGCTTAAGATCAAAAATTTTTACACTTTTATTTTTTCGGCATTTTGAAAATAACATTTTTCATTCATTCGAAACTGGCTAAACCAGTTGTTTGTGTTTCTGTTTCTTAAAAAAAGGAAATTCTATTGAATTTTCCATTTCTGTTATACAATATGGCAGTCATAAATAGCATTAGAGTAAAAATTTGTGTAAAATAGCATTCTTTACTTTTCATTTCAGTTATGTTTGTCTACTCCACAAATCAAGAGTATTCCATCCAACCTATTATTAAGAATAATTCTTTTTTTGTGATAAATAACCCAAAGCAAATCCAAAATTAATAAAATACCAACATATTTTAAGCTCTATCGAATCAAAAATTACGCCACAGCAACTCAAATTTCCTAATAATTGTAACGTTTTCAAACTTAAAATAATTCATCGTCAATCGTCATTTCGCCGTTCTATCTAACCTTAAAATACAATATAGTAGAATTCAAATTAAAACTTTTTATTAATAAAATAAAAAATTTACCTTTGAGCGTAATTTTTTTTTTATTTACCCACATTTTATCCTTTTAATACTAAAAGTTGATTTGAAATTCTATATTGAAATAAAATTTACATAAAAAATTTAAGAAAAAATCAATTTTTTATTTTTTTCAATTATTAAAAAAATTATAAATTTTAATAATGGTATAAAAATAAATTTTAAAATATTTATCAAAATAAAATAGAAAAAAATTTATAAAATTTACACACATGTGCACTCTTACATAAGGTGTATTAAGTTTTAATTAAATTATAAAATTATTTGAAAAAAAATGTAAAAAATAAAATTTTTTTTGTTCCACTGAGTACGAATTTTAACAATGTTTGAATTTAAAGATTAATTTTTTTTTTTAATGTTTTGAATATTGTTTTTTTTTGTGCAATGTTATTAATTTTTAATTATAAAGGTTATTAAACCTAAAATTTAAAATTTTTAAGAATAGTTTTCAAAAAATTTATTTAAATTTTACGTAATTAAATTTAAAATATTAACAATTTAATTTTTTTAAATTCTTATAATTTTTCAAAAAACATTTACCTTTACATTTATCAAAAGACGTTCATGTTCTGGTAATCGTATCGCATGCAAATATAGTGCAAAGTAATACTATTATGTCTATGTATTATCCTAGTAGTCGTAGACGCGATTATAAAGTGCAATCAATCTTAACGTGATAGTAGATGTCAAAATCATCGCGTGTGCACTTTCTGTAAAACTTTTCATACGATATGAGAGTTATTTTTTATCTCCTCAATATTTGCACACGACAGAATTCAAAAAATCACTAACTATTGCTTTAAAGCTTTGTTTGTTTTTCACGTGATCATGCTATTAATGCTACCAAACTAAAAATATTTTTTTATCGCCTCAAGACTACTAGAATTTGAGTGACTATGTTCAAGATAATGAATGATTATTAGTCAGAATCATAATAGAAATTCAGCAAACTACAAAATGTTGTAATGATTTTGACCCCTTAATTTATAAATTTCATTAATTTCTCGTCTTTTTCATTGATAATGAACAAAAACAATTAGAACATTTTTGAACAAAAATCTGTGTAAATATCAGTAACTTTTGTTAAATTGGTTATAAAAACAATTAGAACCTTTTGCTTCAACATTTAAAATAGTGTTTTATTTTTAATAGTTAAATCTTAAATTGATAAGGTTCAAACTTACATTTAATAAAATTTTATTGAAGAAGATTGATTACTAATTAAGAACTCTCAAAAATTCGGCACTAATTTGAGAATACAACTTACGAGTAATTTAAACTAATACCACATTTTTAAATTAAAGTTCTATTATCTTGAACATTTTAGTTCAAAAAGCTAAGAGTGACATATAGCATGTATTAGCAAATTCGTACATTATATTTTGTTGGCGTTTTTGTTCTAAACCAAAATTTTTATAACATTTGCATAAAATAACTATTGTTATTAAGATTCTAATTTCAGCAGAAATAATTTAACTAATAAAAATGTAATAAAAATTATTCGAAAACTTTTAAAATAATAAAATTAAATTTAATGACCAACTATTCTTAAAATTTTATTATATATAGTTAGCAGTGATTTTAAAAAAGAATAATGAAATTTTAATTGATTAATTTAAAAAAAAAAAAATAAAATTTTAAAATTTAATAGCAAAATTTCGAAATTACAAAATTTATAGCTTCATTTTTTTCTTGGTTTCATTTTTTTTTTTTTCAATTTTAAATAGAATTTTAAGAATATTTTTGTTTTTTTTTTTTAGTTTTTAATTAATTCCATCTATTAAAGTATGCATATCCATTGTTTTCCAGACTTCTTGGACGATAATTCCATACTGGATATTGATGGCCGAGAATATTATCTAAAAACAGAATAAAAAACAAAAGAATTAATTAAAACGGGAAAATTAAATAATAATTATATAATTATAATAATTAATAATTTTAATTGATAATTAAGAAAATTTAATGATAAGTGATAATCGTAATTCTTCCTTTATTTTCCTTTCATCTTTTAAATTAAATTATTAAATTGAAAGTAATTTAAAAGTATTTTAAAGTTTATTATTCTAAAATATTTCAATTCTTATGAAAATTAATTAAAAATCTGTATTAATTTAGAAAAAAAAAATATTTTGTTTTTAAAATAATTTTTGTAATTTTTGTTAAAATATTTATTTTTTCTTATTAAAATATTTATTCTTTATTGTCAAACTAAATATTTTTACGATATACGTGATATAACTGTTTTTGGTTTATGTTTTTTTTAACAAGAACAATTAGTTAAAAAGTAAATTAACTAAAAATTTTTTAAAACTTAATTAAGACAAATGAGTATTATTTGTTAAAATATTTTCTTTATTATTACATGTTAGCTTTGTGGTATAACAGCTTGTCTTGTTGGTTATAATAAACACTTACGATAGATTCTATTTTCAAATTCCTACAGTGGTCAGATACTACTTTCAATCATACTAACTATTTTTCAATTTCTTTATTATGAAAAGTGTGCATACGTATATGTATATGATATTTAATATAGAAAATCATAATATGTGTATGCGTATAACAATAAATATTTTTGATACATATATATATAATATAACAACAAAGGCAGTTGTATGGCATTTGTATTCTTACACTTTACTATTATAAATATTAAATAATAATATTAATTTAATTAATTTTCCAAGATTAATTTTCGGTTAATTATCAAAATAATAATATAATATTATAAAATTGAGTATAATTTATTATAAATATGCATACATACATATATGAATTTCAAAAAATTTATTATACAAAATTCATACATATATGAATTTATAATTGAACATACATTTCCACAAAAATATTTAATATTAATTTAATTCATTAATTTATGTACGCCATGTGTACTGCCGCAAATCTATGTTATATTCATTACGTATATCGTATTTTAAATACATTCATAACACATATAAATATATGCCCATACACACATTCGAGTATAATACACAAATGTTTACAGTTTGTGTATACACATATAGCAAGTTTAAAAAAATCAAAATTTAATTTATTTTTTTTTGAAAATAAATATTTTAATATTTGATGTTCCTTTTTTTCATTAATTTAAATATTTTATTATAACAATTAATTTTCAATATTATGAATAAAAATATTCAAAATAAATTAAGAACCTATATTGTGAATATCGTAATCGAATAACAAACGATATTATTTTTAGACAGTAGTATAAAAATAATTACAAATACCTGCATACACACTTGAAAAATTGTCAAATTTATCGTTTGTTAATCGATTGTTTTATACTCACAAATAAATAAATAGAACAGATTATTTTTAAAATCAAGTTGACAATATTTATAAAAGTAGTTTAATAATGAACTTTATAATTATAGTAAATCTCAAAAAAAGAAACCCTAGCTTGTTAAGAAAGAAAATAATATTAAAAATAATATTGTAATTTAAAATTATTTAACAAAAAAAAAAAAAAGAAATGATAAAGATTTTAATTTTGATTTGGAAAAATTTTTAAATTTATTCATTCAATGGGAATAAAAAAGGAAGTTTTTTTCTTGTTTTAAATTATAAAATAATAAAAAAGAAATTATTATTTAAATTATAATTAAAATATACATTCAAATATTTTTAAATCTTAAAATATACACTCATCCTGTGCCCATAATCGTATTTCTAAAAATTCTTTAAAAATGAAAGGAATATTTTAATTTATTGAATTATTTCAATAATTTAAAAAATATTTTTAAAATATCAATGTTATTCAATTAATATTTGCATTTTATAAAGTGAAAGTAGAGCAAGTAACTGAACAACAAATACTTAATAAACTAAAAGTTGTTTTAATATTAAAAATGTCATAAGGAGGCAGGTTATTTGATGACACCAAATTTCGTATGTCGAATTTTCAACGAAAATGTATTTCTCCATATTAGGCACATAAATTTTAAAGAAATTAGAAATCATTAACTGGATTTTAATAACCGGCCAATTTTGCACTAATTTTCTTGAAATTTAATATTTCAAGCAGCAAATTTCAATCTTGAGGATATCAATAGTCGATTTTACCTTCATTGCCCATATTATCTAATTACCTAAAGAATTAACTAATAGAATTTCTTTAAATTGTATTCGAAAAATTTTTCATAAAAAATTTATTTTCAATTTTAAATTGTTTTTAATCAATTAATTAAAAAATTTGTAATGAGTAAAAGTAAAACTTGGTTGGTGTAATAGAAGTTTGGATTATAGAAAGAGATCTTCTAAGAGGTTTTGAAAGAAACGTTAACTAGAAGCTTACTTAAAATTAAAAATTAATTTAAAACCGATTTCATATTATTCAGAAAATCCACATGCATTCTGTCAGTTATGTGCTGTTCCCATCAATTTTTTTTTATTCTTAAAATTCTAAAATGAAATAAAATAAGAAAAATATTTTGTTTGTATATTCTTTGTGTAACCCGCTGAGATTTTTATTGCAAGAACTCGAAGTCTAAAATACAATAAGAATATGAAATAAAGTATTTTAAGAATTCTATTGTTTAAAAACTTGCATCCATATACAATAGAAAACATATTATGTACTCAATCAATCTATGCATTGCATAATGTACATATATTATTACCGACCGTATGGCATACAATAAGGTAGGCTAAGTGATGGCACCAAATTTCGTATGACAAGTTTTCAGTGCGTTGGCACTTCTCCGTAGAAAGGCAGCGTAAATAAACTATTTTTAGAGTGATGTCGGTCTGTTTGTCTGTCAGTCTTTCGGTCTCTTGGTCTGTATATGCATGCGTGATTTTTCAGTTCATTTGAACCGATTTCGATGAAATTCTATATGTGAGTTTATTTCGGCTATATCACGGTTTTATCAATTTTTGGGAAAAGATTAGGGCTCGGAAACTGAACTTTTACTAGGGGTTCGATTTATCTGTATACAATATACATTGCAGATTTTTTTTTTTTTATGTTTTGCAGTACAAATCTTGCTAATACAAAAAACCTAATTTTTTTTTTAAGTTTTGAAGAAAATCATGAACAACAATTCAAATTTTTTTCTTTTATAATGGGGCGTTGAAGAAAATTATTTTGTATATATAAATACATTGTGAGCGTAAGAATTTCGACTGAGATTCTTACAACTCAAATTTAATTTTTTTTTTTCCAATTTTATGATCAAAATGAATATCTTTATCAGAAAAAAAAAAAACAAATAATAAAAATAATTCTTTTCAAAAACAAAACAAATTTTTAGAATTTAAGAACATCATCAAAATAATTAAAATTTCTTATACTTAGTAAGTATCTATAGAGAAAAAAATATCATGTATAAGACAAGAAATCAAGAATTCAAATTGTATAATAGAATTTATATAATAGTAAAACAAAAATAATAATAAAAATTATTAAAATTTAAATAATAATAATAGAAAAGAAAAAAATGCTTTATTTAAAACCAAAAAAAAAACAAAAATAATAATGCTTATGGTACTCCTCCACCTTCTTCCTCCTCCTTTCCCTAAACAATATTATAATAATATAACAAGAGGTATATAAGAGAATTTAAGGAAACAAAAAAAAAAACCACAAATTCAAAACACTAAAACATATTTAAATTTCATATCAAATATAAAAATTTAAAAATAAAACAAAAATTAATTTATTAAATATTTAAAAAAAAAAAAAAATAATAAATTTTTGATGTTAATTTTATATAAACAACAATTTATACAGTTATACTTTTTCATGTTTATTATGGTTCATATATATATGCAATAGATTAGTTACATACAGGATGTTCACAATAATAATAATCGTCAATATATTTTTTATTGCAGGAGGTGTTATTTCTGTTCCTTAAATATTTTAATATGTTGATTTTAGTACCCTGAAGTAAGAACCGCAGAAATCCCAATTATTTTTTTTTTTAAATATAACTAAATTAAAGAACAATTTTTGATCTTCAATCTTTACAAGGGATATAAGTCTGCTATATGATATCATAGCAGTCATGGCACAGTTTCATATACATATGTTATTCGGCCTCTCCCATTTTTCCTATTTTGATATCGAATATTATGGATATACGGTAAATTACTTTTATGTTAATATTTTACATTATATAGTATTGTATATTAAGCTATATTGAATAGATTTATAGTAGCCTAACAATGGTTTGATTAGTTTTTATAATAACCGAGACCATTGCGGAAAAAAAATCGGTACAACAACCATTATACCATTGTTCAAATGTAAAGGACATGTTAAACTTTTCGTAATTTCTTTGCCAAGTCGAACTTAGATATTCAATATTACTACTCAAGTTCTAAATGTACTATATTATTACTGTCATATTTTTTATGGTGATCTGAATTCAGAAAACCAAAAACAAAAAAAAAACAATGTTTTATATAGGTCATAAAATAGCAAAGAATAGGCTAAGTGTGATGTTACTATTACTTTGCCACATTGCTTTGCCACATTGATATCTCTGTGCTATTAGAGTTAAGCTTAATATACAATTAAACTTTACTAATTTTTTGTTACATTTTCTGATATTTTAATTATGAGTAACTAACAATCATTTTTAAAGAATCATTTTTAATAAATTTAAAATATTCGAAAAATACGGTGGTACAATTGTACATTAATTTGATCTTTCTTTTGCCACAATAACAAGTTACAGTGAGGTTAGAAAATTATTTTCAATTGATTTATTCACCATTGTAGTGATTTTTAAAATTTCAATAAATTAATTATTAATTTTCAATATTTTGTTATGAAAAATTTTTTAGTCTAAGAATAATTAGAATCTATTCAAAACTTTGTATTTCTAATTCTGATGAGATAGAACAGAATTAAAAAGCTAGTCATATATTTTCGAAAATGAAAAGGCACAATTAAAGAGTATGTTATCATCTAATTTTTAAAGTTCTCTTAAGAAATAGTTTCTTCTATTTTCTATAAATTAAACTTATTAAATTAATTTTCAACAATATTTCCTGCAATATTATTAAAACATCCTAAATATACGAGATCTTTTAGAAATTTACTTAATTTTTCAAGAAAAAAAAAGGTGTATAATTAAAAATTTTTTGGTGTAAAAAAAATTCAATTGCAAAAATTATATTATTTAATTTTTAAAAAATATTTATACATAATAATATGTAAAAAATAAAAACAAAATACATAATGCGAACAATATATTCAAAAAAAAAAAAACAAAAAAAAATGTCATGTATTAAAATTATATACATAATAATTATTTATAAAATAATATTATTAAATAATAAAGAGTTATTTTTTAATGTAAAATACATAAAATATAATTGATTTTTATTAATTATTTTATAAAATGTACTTGCAAATGTGTACCGCACATAAAGAAGCTTCTATAGACATTAGGCGGTTAAAATACTTTGGGAACGATGTTAGAAGGTAAGTATACTGTTCAAAATACCGAACTACTATGATAAATTAAATTTATTTAAAAATATTCCGACATTTTACTTAATATAATAACAACAAGTAATTTAACTTAATGGAAACTTCTTCATGTAACTGTTCAGCAGTTGCATGAAGAAATTTCCGTTAAGTTAAGTTATTAGTGTAATAAGCACATTACTTATTAATTTCACAACTATGATGTTGTATTAGTAAAATTCATAATACAACAAGTAATTCAATAAGAGCTTCTTAACTCTTAAGAAGACTTAAATAATTTTATTAATTTATTAAAAGCTTTCAATTATAAGTATTTTTCGATCTGAAACTTTGAGTGATTTAATAACAAGGTTTCTTATAAAACGAGTTTTATTTGATAATGTATGTATATGTAAAAGTATATAAAGTAAATTTCTTAATTAAAAATATTGTGCTATTATACAGGATTGTTTTTAACCAGATTTGATTGTTAAAACTCGAATGCCGCTAAAAGTATGCAATATTTATTCAAATATAGAATTTTATAAACCTGTACAAAGAATTGCCTGGCCTTAAATAGACTAAGTTTAACAATTCTTAATTTTATTTTAAATTACTAATAAATTCCTTGTATTTAATTTTATATAATTTTTATATTATTCTGTTAAAATTCCGTCAATGTACCTCCAATTATTAGCATTCTTTTATTTAATAAATTTTCATCTAAAATTAGAGAAATATTCTATAAATTTAAATATATAAAAATTTTAATATTTTAATTTAAAATTCCTATTATATGTAATTAATAACATTTTATTTTAATTTTCACATACATTAAAAATATCATAAAAGTTGTTTTACCCATTTTTTTTTTTTGAAACCTTAACAATTTAAGTAGACCATTGCCTTTCCCACTTCACCATTTTAATATTTAACTATACATAATATATATATATATTTAAATAAAATTAGTTTATTATAATGATGGTTATACAGTCTACTTAACTACATATTATTATTATTATTTACTTATTTAAAAAATTTCAGTACCACAATATTAATATGAACACAAATATAAACTCTTAAATTTTTATCTTAAATTAGAAAATTTTCTATATACATTTATTTTATATACTAATAATAATACTATGTGGTACACATTATAAAACTTTGACCACGAATGAATAATTTTTAAATAATAATAGTAAAAAAAAAAAAAAAATTATTTATGCATAAATATAACAATCCTTTTCCTGCTGTCATTCTTTTTTTTTTTTCCTCCTTCTTTTATTGAAATTTTTATTCATGTAATGTGAAAGAAGGATATGCATGTTGAATGTATATAAATTGTACAGTAAAGTGCATATACTTGAGTAATAAAGTTCACATATACCTATATGTGAAACTATACATGTACACTCTAATTTGAATTATAATAATGCTAAAGTTGTAATGCTATTTTCATAACTATAAACCTTTTTACATATCACATTTACTAGTAAATATAAATAGAACCTCTTAATTCTATATTGCATGTTTATACTTAAATGTTTGTACGTATGTATATGAGCATATAATTCCATCTCTTCTTATTTTCATGTAATAATGGCTTTTTTCCTGTATTCTGCATGTTAAAACTATACAAAATTTTCCCACTCAATCCGAAAAGAACAATAATATACATATATAATTTAAATTTACACTATTACTTTAAAAATCCCTCTTAGAAACAAAAAAAAAAATAGTAAAAGAGGAAATTTTATACATAACATGTTTCTCTTTTTTATTCTTCATATTTTATTCCCTCTCTCTCGCTCTCCCATTCAGTACTTTTTTACTACTATTATTACTATTATTTTTTTATTATAATTAACTGTACTTTTAAAAAATAATAAACTATTTTTTTTTTCTTTATAGAATAATTAAAATATTGTAAACTTTAGAGGAAAATTTTTTTGCTATTAAAAAATTTTCCCTATATTTGTTTTTTTTTAATATATATATACATATATACATAAAATACTATTAATATACTTACTAAAATAATGACGTTGATGACGCCTTCTATTTTGCTGTTGTTGTCTTAAAGGATTTGTACGAATATTCTTTACATAACAATTAGCTGGAACTTGAACCTGCACAATTAAATGGGAGAGTTAAAAAAAAAATAAAAAGGATAATGAATATTAAAGGAAAAAAAAATAAAATTTATGATAAATTATGGTAAAAAATTAGAATTCAAAAAAAAAAATATACTTAATTGCTAAAAAAATTTTATACACAATAATTGTAATATTTGTCAATGAATAATTAAATCAGAACGAGTTTTTTTTTTTTGTTATATGTATAAAACTATAAAAACTATTTTAGAACTTAATAAGTATAGTTTTTCTTATAGGAATTAGGACAATTGAGTTGGAAAATCTGGGACAAAATACAAAATAAAAATAAAACCGTATAATAATGTAATAACGGTAACGGCACCATTTTGTATAAAAGCTAATGCATATGCTATTAGAACTAGATGTTAAAAAATGGAGAAGTCTTCCGGGGCTCCGACAGGCCAAGGATTTTTTAGGAGATTATGATCAGAAGCGATTTAAGAAGATTACAAAGTTGGACAAGAATGAGGTAAAAGTCTTCAACGGTACATTATTGGGCCACTACAGGCTTTGGGGTCACCTCAGTAGGCTGAACCTAGAAAGTGGGTTCACTTGAAAATTTTGTAAGGAGACCTCAGGATATCTTCTGCGAGAGTGTGATGCTGTCTCTCGTAGGAAAAGGGAAATACAGGGAATCTTGTTCTCACGGCAGCGTAGTTGCGACATTTTAGGCCTCATAAGTCGCTCGAGCTCTTAAGGAGGATGGGTCTCGAGTGTGTGTTGTTCAGCATGTCCCGCACTCAAGTGGGAGAGAAGGGACACAAGAGATCTTTTTATGCGGTCGCGGTGCAGTGTTACCACGATTATACAAATCTACTATATAGAATCTAAAAGTGAAATCTAAGACTATAAAAAAAGCTATACATTATAATATAAAATTATAATACAAAAAATAAACTTTCTCTAGCTTTTTAGTTAAGTGAAGATCCAGATTTAATGAAAGTTCAATCTAAAATCGTCTACTTGGCTAAGCTGCGTAGCTTGCAGTTATGAACAGCGACTGAAATTTTTATTGTAGTTATAATTTTTTCTTATTTTAGTCTAATTTCGTAAAATTATGTATTCACAATTTTGATTCATTCTTATTTAACTCATACAACTCATTCTCTACAAAGAAAAAAAAAGTCAATTAGTGTTTCAAGACGTATTAAAAGAAGATATTTAGGACAAGATACAATAAATATATTGAATAATAAATTCAATGGCCGTCGGAACGATCACCTTGTGTTCTGTTATAGTACGGAATGAAGCTATGTTGAATTGCTTAACAGGTAAGGAAAACGTAACCGGATGTCAAATAATATGTAGAATTCGTAGAGAAATGATAGCTGATGTGGAAGTGTAATAAATAAAGACACTTTTTGTTGAGCTTTAATCATTCTTTAAAACTTCACTTTAATTTGATACGACATGAGATAAGCTGAGAAACTAAAGTAAATTAAAAGTCCCACCATTGTGGATTTCTTTCCATCGTAATGTTTTCAATTATTGAAATTACGAGTTTTTAATAGCGCATATTAACATTCTATTATAATTTATCAAAATGCCCCCTAAACAATTAAGCAATAAATCAAAAGACAAATAACAAGTCATCCAATTCGACTCGTTGCATAGCAACAAATCTACCAAAACCCATGATAAAAACCTTTCCTAAATGAAAATTTCAAAAAAAAAACATTGAAACTGCGAGGATACCAAAAGTTTTCATTGATGAAACTTTTGGTATCCTCGCAGTTTCCCTTATATTTGAAATGTTTTTTTTTTTTGGTTCATCATTTTTTCCTATTAATATTATTGTACCATTTTTTCGTTGAGAATGTCATTTATTAAGTCAAACTTTTTCGTCATTTTATTTTTTATCATGTGCAATTTCACAAAGAAATGAACAAAAAAAAAGATATTAGAAAATTAATAAAACCGAATTTTTTTTTTTCGAACAAAAAAAGTCGATGAAAGTAAATTGAACTTTTTTTATCCTAGGAATTATGGAGCAAAAAAAAATTATCCTGATAAAGAACAACACATTTATTTTCAATTTCGATATTAAAGAAGTCCGACTAAAAAACTATAGTATTACACTATAAAATATTTTGGTGCGTTGTAACAACTTTCATCTTTTCATGCAGGATCTCATTTTACTATGTTACGTGCGAAGTTTGCTTTGGAAATTTAACTAGAAAAAGAATGAATTTTTGAATTGAAGAAAACAAGAATTCTAATTTAAAGGGTACGAAAATTGACATTCTGCAATGTTTGAAGAGATAGCTCGAGCGCGTTGGTAAGAAAATTTGGTCTATAATAAACCAAAAAAATATTGATTTATATCTATATGTACTGCAGAAATTGAGCACTAATCTAAACAGCCGTGTACGAGAGAAATTATTTAGTTCAAAAAATACCTAGTTACTATCTAGTTTGAGACAATGCTAAATTTGATGGATCAATTCGAGAACTTTTGAATTCAAGTTTAATTCAAATACCAAAATGCAAACATAAAGGGCTTCAGTTTGGACGCAGTTATTTATTAAAAACTTCCAATTATATGATGACTTTGAAGAGCTTTAACTAGAAAAAATTGGTTTCTGTATGTCCAAAAAAAATTGTTTTTGAAAAATTAAGTTTTTAGGTCTATATTTAAGGTATTTCAGTTTGCTATCTTGAGTGATTTAGAAATTTCGCAAGTAGAGGCGAGGAGACAGAGTAAAATTTATAGACATGCTTTTTAAATTTTTTTGAAAATATCCGAAAATAAGATACCAGAAAGTAATCCGTGATTAATAATATCTAAGCCTGGCGTCTAAATTTATTTTCAAGATTATATGAACTTTATATTGAAAAAGGCATGCAAAGATTATGGAAAATATTTGTTCATTATTTGTTTTTCTCTCATTTTATCATGTTAAATTGTCTTTTAAAACTGAAATGAGAATCCGGCATATGCGAATGAATGAAATTTTTTCAAATGATTTGTGTATATACAAACTTCCAATTTTTAATTTTTCTCATAGAATCTTATGAATTTCCAATTTCTAAATAAGTACATTGATTTCCCTATTTACAAAAATTTTGGTTGTCCAAATTAAAACAGGTACCTATGTATGTCTATTGCTCTTCAATTGAATTTATTTTAAGTTTTTTCAGTTCGTGCAAAATATTAACCATCGCATTCTCACTTCTATTAGAAATTAATATCGAACTGCGATTTACAAAAGACGTCCTACTTCTGACCAAAAGGCGGTAATCATACAAAATATCACTTTCGAGTAAAATTCATTTTAAAAATTTGAGTGAAAAAGTTTTATTTATTAATGATTTTATTAGCAATTCCTCCATGGTTACGACGTACACATTATTTACACGTTCTGGAGCAAAAATTTTTTCCAAAATTACAATATCTATATTAAACTTTCACCGAAAATTAAAATATTTTAAGCAGAAATTCTATATATTTATAAAAAAATTGAAATTTTCTAAATACACAAATTTTTTATATAACAAATTTAGGTCATGCTATTATTCTATGATGAATGGATCTAATGTAATTTAATAACGAAATGGAAAATTACAATTTTTACTTATTTTATTCTTCTAGTTTGAAAAAAAAAAAACAGGGACACCAATTTTGATAAAGAAATAACTTGGTAGTTTTTGCAAAGATAACAAATATGCACAGTTTTTGAGAGCGGAGGTTGGGGAGAGGAGGCCATGGGATTTGCATTCTAATGAATTTATTTCTCTTCTTTAGAAAAAAAAAACCATATTCGTATATCTACTATACTTATTTTCTCATTCATATGATTAAATTTATATTTTACTCTATTAGGGTTGCCGGTAGTCATTTATAAATAATGGAATTAGATAATAGTTTCAAGTAATAAACTTTTAAAGTAATTTCAAAAATAATTTCAATATTGAGATTTATTATCGTCCAGACAATAAAATTATTCGTCCAGACAATTAAATTTAATTAATATAGATATTAAATCTGTATTGATTATAAATGATTATAATGTAATCATTGTTTGTAATTATCTTTTAAATAATTAATTAATTAATTTAAACATTTAGACATCAAACCACCTTAAGCTTCTGACTCGATATTGTTATTTTTTTATTCTCACAGTTGCTACAATTTTTAGAAAATTACTGTCACAACGTTTTGGGTTTAAAATATATCGGCATTAAACAATTTTGAGATAATGAAAAAAATTGCCATTATGATTGTATATTGATCGTTGAAATATTAGAAAGAGATTGAGTTTATGTTGACAGTTCTTACTTAGATCGGAAACTGCAGTCCGTTTTTGTGACAACACTTCAAAAATCTACTTCATTATGATCAGTATGAAAATTTATACTGTCAATAATCAACAATTGACATAACCTAAAAATTTAATATTATATAAATGTAATAAATAATAAATTTATTAATATATAAAGTTGGGTCAAACCAATGGTTTGTATTGTAGCACTTTTCCCTTCAACAAGTGAAAATTCTGTTTTTAAATACAGTCTGCGTATACCTATCACACTATTAAAAATATTTTCATTCATATACCAAACTATTTCTAGGGTTGCATATATTTAGGATGATGCATACATGCAGTCTTTGAAATAAAGCAAAAATTAATATAAAGTGGGGTTAACATAATGCTCGATTTTAAGGTTTACTTGTGTGAGTTAAGAAAAATGATTATATTTTTTAATTTCATGGAATTTACCGTTTACTTTTTGCGTTTATAGAAATTTGAAAAAGCTTGCGGTTTCGGAAATATAAGGTGTCAAAAATTCAAATTTTACAAATTTCAAGAGGCGATAACTTAATTACGAAATGAACTATTTGATAATGTCTAAAAGCTCCTAAAATTTCAAGTCTCTGCTGGCTGGGGTTTGGAAGAAAAACGACATCAAAAATTTGGAAACAAAGGACTTTAGATAACGGTAAATTTGAACGGCCAATTTGTTTTTCTAAA